GTCTCAAAAAAAAAAAAAAAGTTCTTTTTTCCTTAGGAAATGGGGTCTTGTTCTTTTGCCCAGACTGGAGTATAGTGGCCCAATCATAGACTACTGCAGCCTCAAACATCTGGGCTCAAACAATCCTCCTGCCTCAGTTCTCCAAACTGCTGGGACTATAGCTGTGAGCCATCAGGCCTGGCCTCATGAGAGTCTTAGGATTAAATGAGATACTATGCATAAGGAGCCTGGCATAGCACCTGATGTACACCATATACCCTTCTCCATTCCTTGGATTTTAAAATACAGTAGAACTGGCTCAGCGTCTATAGCTCAGCGGCTAGGGTACCAGCCATATACACTGGGGCTGGCGGATTCAAATCCAGCCTGGGTCTGCCAAACAACAATAACAACTATAACAAAAAAATAGCCCGGCATTGTGGTGGGCACCTGTATTCCCAGCTACTTGGGAGGATGAGGCAAGAGAATCATTTAAGCCCAAGAGTTTGAGGTTACTGTGAGCTGTGACACTACAACACTCTACCCCGGGTGACAGCTTGTGACTCTGTCTCGAAAAAGAAAATAAAAAATAAATAAAATAAAATACAGTAGAACCTCTGTAAGTTGACTACCCAAGGGAGTTAACAAACTGGTCAACATTTAGAGGTGGTCAGTGTAAGGAACTAGGCCTACTGCACTGATGTGTACATGTGGTGCATGTCCAGTCTATGAAAATTAGGTCAACTTAAGGAGATGGTCAATATAGGGAGACAGTCAACTATGGAGGTTCTATTGTATAAACTAGTTACAGTGGAACACTTAAGCCCATTTGGGGCACATTCTTCCTATATTCTCAGCATTCTTTTTTTTTAACATTCTTTTTTTTTTTTTTTTGAGACAGAGCCTCAAGCAGTGCTGTGGCATCACAGCTCATAGCAACCTCTAACCTCTGGGCTCAAGCCATTCTCCTGCTTTAGCCTCCCGAGTAGCTGGGACTACAGGTGCCCAACAAAACGCCAGGCTTTTTCTTTTTAGGGACAGAGTCTCTCTTTATCACCCTTGGTAGAGTGCCGTGATATCACAGCTCACAGCAACCTCCAACTCCTAGGCTTAAGTGATTCTCCCGCCTCAGCCTCCCAAGCAGCTGGGACCACAGGCACCGGCTACAACACCCAGCTATTTTTTGTTGCAGTTTGGCCAGGGCCAGGGTCGAGCCCACGACCCTTGGAATATGAGGCCAGCACCCTGTATATGTTGCAGTTTGGCCAGGGCCGGGTTTGAACCCGCCACCCTCAGTATATGGGGCTGGTGCCCTACCCTTTTAACACTCTTTTTTTTTTTTTTGAGACAGAGCCTCAAGCTGTCGCCCTGGGTAGAGTGCTGTTGCATCACAGCTTACAGCAACCTCCAACTCTTGGGCTCAAGTGATTCTCCTGCCCCCGTCTCTCAAGTAGCTGGGACTATAGGCGCCTGCCACAACGACCAGCTATTTTTTGGTTGCAGCCTTCATTGTTGTTTGGCAGGCCCGGGCTGGATTTGAACCCACCAGCTCAGGTGTATGTGGCTGGTGCCTTAGCTGCTTGAGCCACAGGCGCTGAGCCATTCTCAGCATTCTTTCATAGGCTTTTCCAGCCAACTTCAGGAGGAGAAGGGAATGGAAAAAGCATTATGACACACACAAACACATATTTTCCTCTCAATTTTGCTGGAGAAAAATTTGGAAAATACATAAAAATAGAAAGAAAATGACAATCACTGAAAATTCCAGAGACAGTTGTTATTAATACTCTAGCCTACAGCTCCCATATATCTTTTTATATGAATAGATGAATATTTATTAAATATATCTTAAAATTGGAATTATACTGTACATACTAAAAACTAACATTTAATGAGTCTCTACCATGTGCCAGGGATTATTTTAGGTTTTTCTTCTTAGTGATATACGGAGATTATGAGGAATCTTTGTGTGTGTGTGTGTGTATAGTTTCCAAATCTTTTTTAGTAAAATCAGGAAAAATGATTTCTCTCTGTCATGTAAGTCTGGTTTAAAATGTGCTCTTCTGAGCTAGATGAGACATCTATTCCTCTGAAACCCGTCAACCAGCTATAAAGCATTAAGTCACCAATGAAATGTCCCATGAATCCTTATCATTTTAGTTATTGTGAGATCCTGAAAGGAACAGGGCTACTAAAAAAGAGGTTTTAGCACCAATAACACTGTGTTCAAAGAAGATTCCATTGCTTTTCTAGTTGTTCCTTTCACACAATTCTTGGGAATTTCACCTTTTCTTGTAAAAAGCATTTATCTTATTAGATTATTATCTAAATTACACCTTTTTAAAAAAAATCATAAACTGTTTTGGCACTTTAGGAATCAGAAGGAGAATCCTGCTAATGAGGTCAGATACTAAGTAGCTGATCTTCTATTCTAGCCGTGGAATACCTTGGAAGTGCAGAAAGACCAACTCAGAGCAAAATAAACATCCTGAATAATTTCCAAAGCAGGAACTAAGTGTAAAAAAATTTCCAAAATAGTCATAGAAATTTCAACACATAAGACTAAAAAAGGAAATAAACATCAACTTCACTGTAGGCCTTCATCCAACTCATAGTACGTGAGGGTGATAAATCTTACTGACAAGGATTTAACAAGAAAAAGGTGGAGCAGAGTAAGACACCTGAATGATAAAATATTAACTTTTTTAAAATTTTAAAAGTACCTTGCCAACTTAGGCTTTATTTTAAGTTAACTGGAAACAACTTGTTTTCCAAAGTATTATAAATATCTCTCTAAAAGCTTCTCTACATCATTAATTTGCTTACCAAATGCTTCTTTCACATGCAAATACAAATATCAGCCCAAATGCTTCTTTCACATGCAAATACAAATATCAGCCCAACTCCACTCAACTTCCAAACTAGTAGAATCTGAATAATGGAATTTTATGGCATTGCATTTCTTGATTATGGAAATTTTACTGAGTCAGGGGTGAAACTGCTCAGGTCTTTGTAGGCAACAGAAAGAATAGGATTCTTTTCTTAAATTTAATTAAAAAAAAAAATTTGAGACAGAGTCTTACTTTGTTGCCCTTGGTAGAGTGCCATGGTGTCACAGCTCACAGCAACCTCAAACACCTGGGTGCAAGCGATTCTCTTGTTTTAGTAGCTGGGACTATGGGCACCCGCCACAACATCCAGCTAATTTTTAGAGATGGGGGTCTCACACTTGCTCAGGCTGGTCTCGAACCTGTGAGCTCAGGTAATCCACCTGCCTTGGCCTCTCAGAGCGCTAGGATTACAGGCATGTGCCATTGTGCCCGGCCAAGAATAAATAGGATTCTTTATGTATGGCAGGTATGTTGTGTAGACAGTGACTGACATCAGTAGGTAAGATTAATTCTCCAAGAGAAGAAGTTAGGGATGAACATGCTCCCTATCTCCCTAGGACACAAGAGAGAGGGCCTCCATAAGCTTTAGCAAACTCACATGTCGGTGAAGAGAGCTGGAGAGTCAGGCCGATGGGACTGCACATCCTGCATAGCGTTCCATTCATTGACTGAGGATTGGTCTGAGTTGATATGGCTCTCATAGTAACTCACCCAAGTGAGAAAGAGGCTGCCTGGGTAGTAGTTATGCATTCTGGCCACTTCACAAGCCTTGTGTAAACTCTGTAGTGCAGACCTGAAAGATATGATGGGAAATGAGCACGGAACTGAGGGGTACCAAAAGGCCAGTAATCCATGTGTATTGAACTCTCCTGATTTTTAGTTCTATAGAATTGGCATCTAGAGAAAATATACCTTGAAATTCAAGATTCTCTATTGCGATCATATCATATGATCTACCCATAGCAATAGACTATTTGCTGAAAGATATGATACATCATTATGGTAGAGAGGAGGTTAGGGGAGGAAGGGGAACTGACAACTCACCAGTGAAGAAATAGGTTTGGGAGTGCATAATCTGATAGTTGGAACCAGGTGATAGCTGTGCTAGATCATTAGAAAACTAGAGATCTCAATAATTTACTATATAAAGATATGCTTCTCTTAGCACAGAATCATGTTACAGCATACACTCTCTCTGATTTTTAGAGGCTCCACACAGATCAGAGATAGATGTCCTTAAGCCTTGAGGGCATGTCCTTTAATGTCCAGGAAGTACTGATCTAATGACATTTTCCATTCTTGCTAGCTTTGTCTCCTATTTTCTTTAAACTATTTATTCATACACATGAGCTACTCTCTAAGAACAGCTCTGGTTATTCTGAGACTAATTAAACCTTTGACTTTCAACCAAAAAACCCCAAGAATGGTAAACAAAATAGAAAAAGTACCTTTTTGATTATATAATTGGGAAAAACTTAAGCCAGAAATGCCAGGAAATAAGTTATACAAGAGCAAGGACCTTTCTATGTTTTGTTTGACTGATGGATGTCAAGTGCCTAAAAGAATGCCTAGGGCATAACTGGAGCTCAATTAGTGTTTGTTGAGTGAAATGTCTTATTAGTTATAAACTAATGTCTTTCTCCTAAGACACTGAGTATGAAAGAATTTTGTGGCCAAGTTATTTACATCTTTTTCTTAAAAATGGCTTTAAAAAATTTTTCCCTCATCACAAAAGTGATCCATGCACACATTAGAAAATTAGGAACTTCAGACAACAAACAGAAATATCCTGTAATCCTAACCACCCAAAAATATCCAGTTAGGGTTTTAGTATAGGTCTTTGTACTGGTCATTGTGTATAGGCAATGAACTTTTTGTTTTATTTATTTATTTATTTATTTGAGATAGAGTCTCACTTTGTCACCCTTGGTAGAGCACTGTGTGTCACAGCTCACAGCAACCTCCAGCTCCTGAGCTTAAGCGATTCTCCTGCCTCAGCCTCCGGACTAGCTGGGACTACAGGTATCTGCCACAACACTCAGCTCCTTTTTTTTTTTTTGAGACAGAGTCTCATTATGTTGCCCTCAGTAGAGTGCTATGGCGTCACAGTTAACAGTAACCTCAAACTCTTGGGCTCAAGCAATTCTCCTGCCTCAGCCTCCCAAATGGCTGGGACTTACAGGCGCCTGCCACAATGTCTGGCTATTTTTTGTTACAGTTGTCATTGTTGGTTAGCTAGCCCAGCTGGGTTCAAACTTGCCAACTTCCGTGTATGTGGCTGGTGCTGTAACCACTGTGCTACGGGTGCTGAGCCAGCCTGGCTACTTTTTAGAGACAGGGTCTTGCTTTTGCTCAGGCTGGTCTTGAACTCATGAGCTCAAGCAATCTACCTGCCTCAGCCTCTCAAGAGTGCTAGGATTACAGGCGTGAGCTAGCATGCCTAGCTCTTTATTTATTTGTTGTTAAGACCTCTCTCTCACCCAGCCTAGAGTGAAGTAATCTGATAACAGTTTACTGTATCCTTGATCTCCTGGGCTCAAGCAATCCTCCCACCTCAGTCTCCTAAGTACCTGGAACTACTGGTGTACCCCATCATGTCTGGCTAATTTTTTTTTTTTTTGGTAGAGTTGGGGTTTTGCCGTATTGCCGAGGCTTGTCTCAAAACTTCTAGCCTCAAGCAATCCTCCCACCTTGGCCTCTCAAAGTGTTGGAAATCTTAAATAATCAAAGGTATGACCATATTTTAGTATACCATTTATAATTGCTTTTACTTTACAGCCTGTCATCCCTATCTTTCCATGTCAATATTCTTCAACTAGATCATTCTTAATGACTGTATAAAATTCAATAACACAGATGTACCACAATTTAATTAATTCCTATTTTACAGACAGTTAAATTGTTTTTCACTTTTTGCTGTTATTAGAACACTGATGAACATTCTTATAGCTAAAATCTTTGCTGACATTCATGGTTATATTTGGGTAAATTCTTAGAAGTAGTATACTAGCCAAAGGCCATGCAAAATGATAAGTCATGTTGGCAAATCATTCTCCAGAAGTGTTGCTCCAGTTTATTCTTTTACCAATTGTATAAGACAGTGTCTGTTCCTCGAACCTTTGTCAATCTCTTATAATAATTTAAATTAAAATTTAATAATGTGATTTTTTTTTTTAAAAAAAGAGTTTCCTCTGTTGCCTGGGTAGAGTGCCCTGGTGTCATAGCTCACAGCAACCTCAAACTCTTGGTTGGGCTCAGCCTCTCAAGTAGCTGGGACTTTTATTTTAGTAGAGGGAAGGGGGGGGTCTTGCTCTTGCTCTGGCTGGTCTCCAACTCTTGAGCTCAGGGGATCCACCCACCTCAGCCTCCCAGAGTGCTAGGATTATAGGTGTGAGCCACCACACCCAACTAATACTGTAAATTAAATTTTTGTTTTACCAAATTAGTAAGGGAAAAATGAGCTAGTGCATTTTAATTAGGGAAACATTTTTTGTAAAACAAAGTCACAGAAAGTAATAATATTGTCTATTTATTGCCTAAGGCTAGGGGAGGGAGAAAAAGATAGATTAAAAAAAGAAAAAAAAAGCTTTCTACTATTCAAAGTAAGCCAAATGTTCAGCAAAAATTTTAATTACAATATATGGATTCAAAGGTAAGGGCCAGCTTCATGTAATGTAGAGGATATGCAAGGCATGTTTTCTTCATCTAGGAAACATGCTTCAAAAGCATATGCCATAGGGTGGTGCCTGTGGCTCAATGGAATAGGGCACTGACCCCATATGCTGGAAGTGGTGGTTTCAAACCTAGCCCTGGCCAAAAACTGCAAAAAACAAAACAAAACAAAACAAAACCAAAAACCAAAACCAAAACAAAAAAACTATATGCCATAAAGCCTGGTGCCACTACCCTAAAAAATACACTCACAGCCTAGTTACCCTCAGATAGTTCAGGTGCACAGGACTTCCTAGGAGGCTGCAGTAACTATCTTCCTGTGAAGGAAACACCTGGTCTAAATGCTGCTTTGATCATCTATTTTTTTTCCTTGTGGGTTTTCAATTCACTACTCCCCATAAGGCACACCAAAAAAAGTTTATTCTGTGATAAACTACTAGAGCTAGGACCAGTCAGTCTACTTTAGAATGTCAAACCTGATCTAAAGTTATTACGTGAATTAAGACTATTCTGTACTTCTCCCAAAAACGCACCCGAAAACACTGTCATTTATAGTACTTACAGCTGCTTGGTTTTACTTGATAATTTGGTAGTAGATAAATCAGTTGCCTTTAACTGGGCCTTACTTAGTCAAAGGAGTTCATAAGTTTTCCATAAGAGATTTACTTGCAAAATATGCCCTAAATCTAAAAATCTGGTCCAAACACATGACCTGAAACTCTGTCCTACTTCACTTACTATAGGAAATGATAAGACAATTACTTATTTAGTGAGTTTTAAGACTCCACTCACCTCAATCCTACCAATTCTGTGTATTCAGGGGTAGATTATCTCCCTGGAGTCTTTTTTTTTTTTTTTTTGAGACAGAGTCTCAAATTGTCACCCTCGGTAGAGTGCTGTGGCATCACAGTTCACAGCAACCTCAAACTCTTGGGCTAAAGTGATTCACCTGCCTCAGCCTCTCAAGTAGTTGGGACCACAGGCGCCCGCCACAACACTTGGCCATTCTTCTGTTGCAGTTGTCATTGTTGCTCTAGCTGGCCCGGGCTGGACTGGAACCCTCCAGCCTCGGTGTACGTGGCTGGCACTGGGCCACAGGTGCCGCTTCCCTGGCATCTTTTAAGGGTCACCCCCCTTTTTAATGGCTCCTTTATTTCTTATTTTGCTTGCCTACTCTACATTCCTCTCCTGAAGGGCACTTCTACTACACAACAGGCAGCTGAATGAGAACCTGAAATTCAAATCCTTGACTGGCATCTGAATCCTAGTCACATCATTCCCTGGTTATATTAGATCATTTTTTTTTAGATAATCTGGAAGAAGAGAATAACAGTTTAAATATACAAAATATTGGGCAGCACCTGTGGCTCAGCGGTCAGGGCACTGGCCCCATATACTGAGGATAGCGGGTTCAAACGCAGCCCCAGCTGAACTGCAACAAAAAAATAGC